AAAATAGCTGAATTTTAATGCTAAAATAGCGATACTGAATGATGGAAAGGGCACAGGCTACCATGTCTGTGTTTCGTCAGATATTCGGAATAACGATGCTATTGAAAATTTTTTTGTTTTTAGCCGAGACAATTTATCAAGAAGCCATGAAGTACATCGATCAAATCGGCGTGCCTTCGCAAAACCTTAAAACGTAATATTTATTATAATAATTGTCAATATATGAATGGTGTTTATATATTTTATTTCTATGTTATGTATATGCGTGCTTGTTTGACACGCTGCGAACACCATTCCTGGCTATTGTTTACTGCAAGAAGAAATGCTCTAGATTATTCATTTGGCACTCATAGCATCCACACGCTAAACTTCCATGTCATCGTCACAGTCACCAAGAAGATCCCCGCAGGCATAAATCATATGAGACTTCTTTGTCCTGGCTCTCCCTCCCTTCAAATGTTTAAGTTTCCTGTCGAGTCCTGCACCGTATTGGGCAAGACTGCTCTTTATTCATAAAGGCATTTGATGATGCCTTCCATACCTCAGACTCGTTGGTACTTATACTGGAAAACCGCCTACGATTTATGAGGACTATCCTTGACGTCGTTAAATATGATTGGAGAAAAATTTTATTGGAATTTCACCGTGACCAGTAACTTCATTTTATGACTCTATTCAGAAGCTTCCGTGAATTTTCCATAATTTATCCCAGAAACAAGGCTCCAGTCCGAGTAGAATCGCACAGTTCTTCCTAAATGGCAGTGTTGCATTTCTGAATGCGATTCATCATGAGTCCATTGTCAGCTGGTGCAAAGCGCTGAAGTTTCCGAAAGAAATAACAGCTCTTGGTGCACGCGAGATAGTTCAGCAGCATCATTACCAAATCTGAATTTTATATGAACATGGACTTGGACTTGTAGTTACTTCTGCAATTTGCTAAGAGATTTTTTTGCTGTATTACCTGGGGCTTATTGAACATAGATGTTGTTGAGGGTCTGCCAATGCCCTCGATAAAAACGGTTTTTGTATGTGGAACTGCCGTATCAAATATGCATGTACCCGACTGCCAAGAGTCTGGATGTGTGTCACTCACTACTCGATTAGCCTTCAGTCCTGGATGAAACTCAGGTAAGATTTTTGTTGGATTTGTCTGTCCAAAGATTTTTTTTGTTGCTGGTGTGTTTCAGTTTTATATATGTTGTTTATTTGGTTTTACACTACGACATGCATCAGGAAGCAATTTTTTCAATTTAATTACCTTTAATTTATTGTCTCATTTGCTGTTCATTTCCAGGGGCTACCGAATCCTTCTCGAAGCCGTAACCTTAAACCACACCAAAGCGATGGAATTGGTTGCTTTCGCTTACCTGTTTGGCGACTACCTGCCGTGGAACCTGCGTAAGGCGGAAGAGATGTTTGATCGGCTCGCAATTCAAGGATCCCCTAGAGGTCAGATGGGTCTTGGCTTCATGCTGGCTAACGGAATCGTTAGAAATTCGAGTCAAGCAAAGGTAACGACGACGTTGATTCATTCACCCACATCTTCTGTGACATTAAGGCATTGACACACTATATGTTCGCGGCGCTCGGTGGCGATGTCTGGGCGCAAATGGTGTTGGTAAGTATTTTAGTAATTTGTTGATAAACGGATTTATACCATTACTCTTTTGTAATTAGTTTCTTTGCTCAAAAGACCTTGTTTAAAGAAAAACTTCTTGAAAATTAGGCTTATACAAAACCTTTGTCTGTCCCTCGATTTACGAATTTTTACTGCAAGGAACCATGTAAATTTGTGAATATGATTTTCGGTACAACAAAGTGGAGCCAATTTGTGTCCATAGATCTACTTCGCAACTAACAGTTGTTACTTTAAGTTTAAGGATTACAGCTAATATTAAGGATTTAAAATGGACTAATTTCATTTTAAAAAATTACCTCAAGTAATTCGATTTGAAATGCTCCCCATGTGCATGATTGATCAAGATTTGGAGAAAATCTTTCGTACAATCATAATTTTTGCGTCTGTTTACTCGTTTTACTATCTTGTATTCAACAGGTGGAACATGATTAAACTTTGCGGTTTCATTTTCTCATGTCAGCATGATTCGGAGGTAAAGCAAAGTTACATCTTGCATAGTGAACGTTGACCTGTGATTTGGTTCAGTTGCTCTTTGGGCACATTGCCGAGCCTCCATCGAAATTTGAACTGTAGTAAACACTTGCTAGTAGCATGTTAAATGTGCTGCATAAATTACATGGAAAGTGGCGAACGAGTAACCGCGGGAGGGGCTGAAGCCACAGTGTCTGAGTGAAGTTAAAGATTGTTCACACCATTCTGTCATGAATGTCACTCTGTTGTTGCAGTCCTTGATAAATTTGTAACTCCTTACTGTTCAGCTTTTGTGTTAGTTTATGTACTGCTGTGACGTTTTGAAGAACTGTCTGTTGTGAATAAGAGAGTTTACTCTTTTAGGGCTATCGCTATCTGAATGGAGTGAATCTGCATCAAAGTTGCGAGTCAGCATTGACCTACTATCGCAAAGTTGCCCAAAAAGGTGAGTTTTTACTACATTACTTAATCAAGTTTTTTTTAAATCTTTAAACAGTAGGAAATACTTAGATTTCGATTTTTTTTAAATATTTCAGATTGGATCATTTGTTTATTATTCAGGAAGGTAGACAGTATGGAGCTTCATCAATGGCAGTGCAATGGCGCCTAGGGTGGTGTTGAATTTTCGCCCTAGAGGTTAGGGTTCTCTTCCTAACGCTGTGTAAAATTTTTAGATTTTCTCTTTGGCAAGCCTTTCATCGCAGGTGTGACTAATTGGAGCCAGCTTTGGAACAGGTACCAATGGTTGACCTGCAAACAACAGAAAAGGCATGGTGCTCTACTTTCATCATGCCACAGTGTGGAAGTCTTATGTCCGTGCTGCGTAAAACGTGCTTTGGTGCTGCGATAGCCCACCTGATAACTTACTAAAAGCAGCAGGAGATACTTGTTCATTAATTTTCAAAGTCTTAGTAACTTTCGAGGCAGCTGCTTCAGATCTAGTGAAGAAGAACAAGTTCATTGATCTGGAAGTAGGAACCAGTAGGCAATTTACTTTACCCTTCACATTGAGGTCTTTTGAATTTTTTCATTTAGCTCTTGTTGTGCAGAATAATATTCTGTTGAAATGAAAGCCCGAAAATAGTGCAGGAGTCTGCTCTGAAAAGTTGAAATGGCGTGGTTGCACTTCATATCGCAGTGTGCTTCACTTTGAATCCGTTTTCCTGGAGGAAGGTTTGAAAAAAAACATTAGCAATCGCCCATGAGGATTGACACCCTGGATTAACTGCTGAACATCGGATCTCCAAAATGAACCTCAAGGAAAGATAGGGAGATTGGAGTAGCGTTGAATTCCTTACTGGGCGCATCACATGAGGAAGGCAAGTCAGGTGAATGGTAGAAAATAGTCATTTAACAGTCTAGGTGTTTCACTTAATCTAAGCATGGAGGGGGATATTGATTCGCTGCCTTTTCAATAATGATTATTTTTTCCTTGATCGATGGTAACATGTTTGCTGATTGATGTTAAATTTCTTTATTTATCAACGAGTTTCGATTCTACTCATTGACGTCATTATTAGGAGCATATACAAACGAAGATGCAGGATGAGGAGAAACATTTACCAGGCCATATCAGTGACAAGATCAGTTGTTTCTTTAATCTGACTACCTTCCAACTGTGAATGAAATTAAATGAGCTCGAGTAGTCGTTACATATTCAACTTCTTCTTCTTCTTCATCTTCCATCGCCGCTTCTCCTTTCGAGTCGCGGAGGCAGACGCGTCAGACAGTGCTTCCAACGTTCCCGATCCTGTGCCAGAGTGTGAGCTTCGGCAAAAGGCAAATGCAGTCTGGAACAGGCTCCTTCCATATGTTTGCACCAGGTTAATCTTAGCCGTCCCCTGGGCCTTTTGCCGGTCAGATTTGCAAGGAACAGTTGCTTAGCCTTCCTTTCTGCAGGCATTCGCAACACATACCCAAGCCATCGCAGCTGACATATTCAACTTTTGTTGGCAAATGTGCAATGGTTTTGTTGGTTTATAGGCCCATTTTACCTATGTTTGCCCACCCTTTGTCATCACAAGTGACATTCGAGGTCTCGGTGAGTGACCCCTGCACAAAGCTTGCCAAGTGAAGAGGACTGATCCGTCTTCCCATTTCTCAAAGCATCCAGATGTTGCATAGTTTATTTCTCTAGTCTCCTTATGATTTCTCTGATTAGGTTTTGTCTAACATATTGTATTGGATTTTATGTAGTCACTTTTGATTCAGAAAGTTATTCCAATGGTTGTCCAGATCCTCTGCCAGTCGGACTGGCTTTTTTCCACAGTCTACAGTTTGAATTTTGAGTTTGCCATAGAATGTCCGCCGCAACCCCTCATGCAAGCTGCTTTATCCGTGAACGTCATTTCAGTGTCGGAAACCGTACGTTACACCGGCGGTCAGGCGATGCAGCGCATTCGCTTGTCAGATGAGTTGGAAGACCAATCCGGCACCCAAAGCCTCATCGACGAAAATCTTCTTCAGTACTACAAGTTTTTGGCCGACAAGGGCGATGTCCAGGCACAGGTATAAATCTCAGAGGCTATGTTATCGTTAATGGCATGTGAAAGTTTGAATAATGGTTCATTTATTCCTCAGGTGGGATTAGCTCATCTTTACTTGTCCGGGGGTCGCGGCGTCGAGCAGGACTCATACATGGCGCTTCATTACTTCAATGCCGCCGCCGAGGCCGGCAACCTGAACGCCGTCGCTTACCTGGGCAAAATGTATCTGGACGGCAGCCCGGCGACGCCGGTGAACAACGAAACGGCATTGAAGTACTTTCAAAAGGCCGCTGATCAGGTGAGTACGCTTTCGATCGCTGGATTAACATCACTTTTATCGTTGACCATG